TAAAATTATATGATTGGCTATAATTGTAAAGTTATTGCAATTATAGCCAAAAGATGCCAATTTGGCTAATTATGAAATAATTTGGTTTAAATAGGACCATGAATAAAAAATTAAATCAAGAAATATTTTTGAAATTATTTGTAATGCCATTTTGTAATTATTTATTGGAAATAAAATGCTGGGTAAATTAATAAAAATATAGGAAAATTATGAAAAAATACCGATTGCTATTAATGCATGATTTTGAAGGTATATATGCAATTTTAAATATTTTGGGAAAAAATTGGGTATCAACAATAAGTAGAACTTTAATTTATTTCAAAATCCTAAAAATTAGGAAAATAATTAAATGACTATTTTGTCTAGTATGAAATTATTTTTTAAAGGGTATAAAAGGCGAACGACATTTCGCTAAAGGCCTTCGTGCTTTTAATATAGTATAGATATAAACAGAAAATGTAATGATTTTTATACCATTAGCGGTCATTTGGTTAATGGGATTATTAGCTTGTTCGGCCAAGCTGGAGAAATCAGCTTATTTTGAGAAGTGCTTTTGAAAAAAGTACTTTTGAAGAGAAAAAAAAGTACTTTTGGGAAAAAAAAACACTTTTGGCCTCTTGAGAAGCTTGGCGAAACATGCTATAAAATACTAATCTCGAAACAAAACATATATTTATGTCATATTTGATTATTGGTGTACCAAATTATATTAGCAATCCCGCATTGGATGTGGGATAATAATCACAAGATTATAACTTGGGAATTGTTGATCCCTGGATATCGAGTTTGGAACCAAACAGCCCCTTAGATTTATTAAACTAGGGCAAATTACATAAACACTCATGTAATTTATTATAATATATTAGAAGTACGAACTACGAAGCCCTTAGATAAATGTATTTGTCTTTTTTATCACTGAATAAAATAATTATTTAATTATTTCCTAATATTTATAATAAACTATATAATAAGTAGGCGAAATGGCTTCCTGGCCACTTAAACTTGTACAGCTTTTGAAAGCCGATACGCGAACTTTGGATTTTCCCATTTGAACACCTCTACTTGAGAAAATGTCTACTAATAAACACCTTTGACCGTTGACTATGCTTAGGTGGCAATATTATAGCTGATGTGACCAATTGAGTGTCAACATCGGTATTAAGCGCGTGCATATGATAAATAATTAAAAAAAAGATAAATAATTAATTTAAAAAAATAGAAAAATTTATCGGGTCAGATTTAGAGATTAGGCAGTTCAATTCATCGGGTCTGACTATTAACTCCAAGCCGTAGGGATTGTTCTCCATACCAAAAACTACCTCTCCACAAAAAATCAGGAGATTTCACCGTAGGAATCGCCACTTCTGATGACCTGCAACTCTCCGGCGGGCTCCAGTTGATCGGAGATGGCGTTCCAGTGGTCTAAATCGCCCAAGAGAAATGCCAATCGATTCCTGCTGCTGAGGAGGTCACGCCAATTGGCCACTACAACGAATTAATTGTCACAACTTTAAAGAAAACCAATTCTGCGACAGTATTGATCGGAAAATTTCTCCGGCAATCTACCTAGCTGGAAAACATAAGCAAAATTTAGAGAGAGAGGAGAGGACGAAAAAGAACCTAGGAAGGGAGTGCTAATATGGAAGTAGACGAATGAGTTGCAAGTGTGCACGGGGGAGGATGGGAAGGAACGGGGAAGAGGAACCTAGAAGGGTTTATGTTTTTTCTTTCTTATTGTATTTATATTTTTATTTTTCAAATATAAATATAGGTGACAATTTTTATTGAAAAATTACACATGTCATTAGTTGGGTTGGGTCTTACTTTTGGATTGGTCATTTGCTGACTGGATGGACACGTCTGTGTATGTGTAATACACGCGTATAGGCTCAAGAGTCAGATGTGTTTATTAGATAAGGGAATCATGAGTTCGAGCGTTCATACGGGAAAAATCCAAAGTTCGTGTATCGGCTTTCAAAAGCTTTACAAGTTGAAGTGACGAGGAAGCCATTTCGCCTAATAAGTAAAAGTTTGCGTACGACCAAGGGTATTTCTGAAAATATCATTTACTTTATGGGAAATTTAGTAATTTTCGTCATTGCAACTTTGGGTCAACACCGATACCATCGTTTCAATTACCAAAAGCCCTATTTTCTGTTCTTGCCCTGTTTAAATTTGCCCTATTCGCTTACGCTTCTATTGCTCACGTTTCAATTTGTCTCACGCTCTCGGTCTTCACTCTTTTAAGTGCAAGCTTAGTGATTTGGGGAAAACGCAATGTCTCTTTCTTTTCGCATTATCTGTTGGTAAGTTTATCCATCTTTGTTCAATTGTTCTATTTGAATCTGGTGCGACCTCTCTGGTTCGTTGAGTTATTTGTGCAACTGTGCTTTGTTTATTCAATAATTTGGTGATTATATGTTAGTTTTCTATATTGTTTTGAGTTGCTTGAATTTTTACATGCATGTCAGTAATTGTACCTGAGCTGCACATGTATTATGAAATTTGTCTTTGTACCAACTAATTAGTCCACAATTAAGTTGCTTTTACTGAAAATTTAAGGTATCAAAAGTGCTGCTGCTCAGGCACTTAATTGTTTCTCTTCCTTTTGCTTCATGTTTCCTCTGTTACTGAAAGTAGCTTTCATTCCTCTCCTCTTTGTATCCTTTTCATGTATTATGAGCTTTCTTTCTTCTCTCGAATAATTTTTGCTGAGTCCTTTTTTTCAATCTTCTGATGTTTTTCTTTAGTTACTTTAACTGTTTGAGCTTTCTATTTTATACTGTACATGCAAATCTTATCATTTAAAACTAAGTAATAGGGAGATGAAAATCCGTTGTTCTCTATTCCATTCTACTCGCTACCAAGTCATACAACAAAGTATTCGTGGTGATCTTCACTGGGATTCAACTGAGTTAACTCAATTAGATAAGTGTTTAATCCTTAGTTCTATTATGAATAAAATTGCGTCTCTAACCGGAATTCAGGTTTTTTTTTGTATGTAATAATATCATTCATTTATTCCCGTATGCAGTCTGTCATACGATCCATTTTGGTGCATCATTAAAGATGAGTTTGTATTTTTTTTTACTTGGACACATTTTTAGACGTTCAATATGAAGAAAAAATATCATTGATATGATACTTTCAGAAATACCCATTTTAATGCATTTTATTCTGATATAGCAGCAACAACAACAACAACAACCAAGTGTGGTCCCACAAGTGGGGTATGGGGAGGGTAGGATGTACGCAGCCTTACCCCTACCCTGGAAGGGCAGAGAGACTGTTTCCGATAGACCCTCGGCTAAAGAAGGTTATTCTGATATAGCGTGGCTAATATTATTAGTTTCTGCATGTTCTTTCATTGCTTGACTAATTTGTGCTTTCTTGCTTCATACTTGCAAATGATTTGGTGGTCCTTCATCTGATTCCTATAAAGAGATTTCTGCATTCTCTCATGATGGTAATCAATCCATCAATTTCGTGGTATAAAGAAAGAAACATGGATATTAAAGAACAATAAAAAATATTTTTATAGCATATGGGAGTAAGCACCTCTTACTACTATTTACTGATTTGGGTGTTTCCACATATTAGACTTGCAAGTGCACCAAAATTCTATGTTGTTGAGAACTACTTCAAAAATAAGTTGAAAAGTGTAGTAATTCTTTATGATATTAATTCATTCTATAGCTTCTAAATTTGCTAGAAAACCATGGAGCCTCTATTGCTCTTTCGATTAACTATTCTCATGGCCAGTTGATTGCTATTTTCGTTGTTCCTCACACAATTTCTGCCCCACTGGACAATACGATGGAATATTTTTATTCTGTGTGATAGTTAGACAAATGAATTATCAATTCATGGGTCAGTTCATTTCCTTTTTGGTAACTTTCTTTTATGAAGCATGGATACATATATAACATGTCGTATATGGATATAAGAGCAAAATTTAATTGAATTTCACTTTCTTGATATGAATTTCTTTACAGAAGGACGGAGCACTTAGAGTAGATCAAAGTGAAATCAAGTTTTTGATAGCAACAAAAATCCTCAGAGTCAAGGTTCAACAACAACAACAACAACCAATAAAATCACACAAGTGAGGTCTAGGGAGGGTAGTGAGTATGCAGACCTTACCCCGACCCCGAGGGAATATAGAGGCTGTTTCCGAAAGACCCTCGGTTCAAGAAGACAAAAAGAGACAAATACATCAATACCATCAACAACAAACATAGAAATAATAACAGCGACATAAGAGCCAGAAAATAGATGAAAAATAATAACAATAACAAGTAAATAAGGCCCTATAATATGGAAAACGGAAGAATAGTGTGAACACAACATTAACCACTAGAAATCTGAGACGAATCCCTATCAGGCTAGCCTCACACCCGGTACGAAGTAGAAATTGATCAACTACCTCCTAACCTACAATCCTAATGCTCGACCTCCACACCTTTCTATTAAGGGCCATCTCCTCGGAAATCTGAAGCCATACAATGTCCTGCCTGAAACCTCTCCCCATTACTTCTTAGGCCGTGCTCCACCTTTTCTCGTACCCACCAAAGCCAATCGCTCACACCTCTTTACTGGGGCATTTGGGCTTCTCCTCCGCACGTGCCCGAACAATCTAAGCCTCGCTTCCCGCATCTTGTCATCCATAGGAGCCACGCCCGAATAACTTCATTCCTAATCTTATCCATTCTAGTTTGCCACACATCCACCCCAACATCCTCATTTATGCTACTTTTATCTTCTGGATATGTGAGTTCTTAACTGGTCAACACTCTGCCACATACAACGTGGTTGGTCTAACGAGGGCTCTATAAAACTTACCTTTGAGCAACAGTGGCACTTTCTTATCACACAGACTCCATATGCTAACCTCAATTTCATCCCCCTACCCCTATACGATGTGCGATATCCTCATCGATCTACTCATCCCCCTGGATAACTGGCCTCAAGTACTTGAAACTACCTCTTTTGGGGATGACCTATGATTCAAGTCTCACGTCCACGCCCGCTTCCCTCGACTCCGCGCTAAACTTGCACTCCAGGTATTCTATCTTAGTCCTGCTTAGCTTGAAAATTTTAGACTCAAAGGCTTGTCTCCAAACCTCCAGCCTCTTGTTAACGCCGCCTTGGGTCTAATCAATCAGAACTATGACGTCAGCGAATAACATACACCATGGCACCCCCCTTAAATATGGTGCGTCATTGCTTCCATCACCAGAGCAAATAAAAACGGGCTGAGCGCATATTCTTGGTGTAGCCCCATAACAAGTGGAAAATGCTCATAGTCACCTCGCTCTGTCCTAAACCGAATCTTAGCTCCACCATACATGTCCTTAATCGCCCTAATGCAAGCGACCGACACATCTTTGGCCTCTAGGAATCTCCAAAGAATCTCCCTAGGCACCTTGTCATACACTATCTCCATGTTAATAAACACTGTGTGCAAATCCTTCTTCCTATTCGTGTATTGTTCCACCAACCTCCTAATAAGGTGGATAGCTTCCGTAGTCGACCGACCAGGCATGAACCCAAACTGGTTATCGGATGTAGACACTGTCCTCCTCACCCTTACTTCCACCACCCTCTCCCAAACTTTCATGGTATAACTTAGCAACTTGATACCCCTATAGTTGTTACAACTTTGGATATCACTTTTGTTCTTGTATAACGGTATCACCGTACTCCACCTTCACTCGTCTGACATCCTCTGCATCCTGAAAAATCACATTAAACAACCAGTTAACGACTCCTAGCCTGCTCTATAAACACTCCTTCAAAATTCTACCAGAATTTCGTCTGGCCCAGTTGCTTTGCCCCGACTCATCTTTCGCATAGCCCCCATGACTTCCTCAACCTTAATGTGTCTACAATACCCAAAATCTCGGTGACTCTCGGAAAGACCCAATTCACCTAGCACAATATCTCTGTTCCCCTCTTCATTTAGAAGTTTATGAAAGTAAGTCTGTCATCTCCGCTTAATCTGTACCTTTCCCATCAATACTCTACCGTCCTCATCTCTAATGTACCTCACTCGGTACATATCCTAAACCTTCCTCTCTCTCGTGTTGGTCACCGCCTTTGTCACTCAGTTCCTCGTACATAAGACCAAATGCTGCAGTCTTAGCCTCTATGACCGCCAATTTCACCTCCTTCCTAGCTACCTTATACCTCTCTCTGTTTGCTCTCCTCTCCTCCTCGTTTGAGCTCCCTACTAACTTCAAGTACGCCGCCTTCTTCGCTTCCACTTTACTTTGGACCACTTCATTTCACCACCAGTCACCTTTTTGCCCGCTCGAGTAACCCTTCGAGACCCTAATGCCTCTCTCGCCGCCTCCCTTATACAGTTCGTCATCGTCGTCCACATTACGCTCACGTCCCCACTACTCCTCCAGGCTCCCAAAGACGATAACCTTCCCCCCCAACTCCTACGTTTTATCCTATGTTAAGGCTCCCCACCTGATCCTCGGTCGACCTCGAACATACCTCTTCTTCCTCTTTATCATGATACCGACATCCATTACCAAGAGCCTATGCTTCTTCGCGAGGGTCTCCCCCGGGATAACCTTGCAATTCTTACACAATCCTCTATCACACCTCCTGAGGAGGAGGTAGTCAATTTGATTTTTTTCCACCGTACTTTGAAACGTAATCAAATGCTTCTCCTTCTTCGGAAAACTAGAGTTCGCAATCACCAACTCCAATGCTTTAGCAAAATCCAATAGCGAGGTTCCTCCTCCGTTTGGGTGGAACTATTGAAATAAGAGAAAGCTGCACTATTTTGAAAAAGTAAGCGCCATTTGAATTGAAAAAGAAAAAAAAAGTAGTTGTATTGTTAAAAATACTTCTTGATAGTGGTAACTTTTGATGTATTTGTACTTAAAGAAGTTGGGAGTTGATGTATATTGATGTGAGGGTGGAGTTTTGATTTGACATAAGTGTGAGCTTTGAATGGTTAATTGTATGTATTAAAGTGCTTAGGGAGGTGTAGTCATGCTTATATCCAAATATATCCTACCCATTCCGCAGCCTACATTACGACCAAATAAAGTCCTACTTGATCCTTGGCTGAATGAGCTTGATTAATTGAGTATTACACTATGGGCAAGCCTATGGAATGTCTTTTGCGGCATATGAATGTTACTTCTAAGAGTGCGAATTCTTTTTATTTTGAGTTCCTAATTGTTCTTAAATTTTATTGTGTATGGAACTACTCTATATTGTTGTGTGAGGGCACTTGATTCATGAAGGAAAGGTAATGTTTGACCTCTGTGTTAGAGTAAGTGAGCGGGTTGCGAAAAATGCATGGTGCTTTTAAGTCAAATCTTGAGGCGAGGATGTTACAGTAATGTGCTTAATCTGTTTTAAATATTCTTGGTGTGATGAGTTAGGAGAGTTATTTGAAAAGATCCTGTCTATGTAAAGTGTAGTTTGATTGCTCGAGGATGAGCAATGTTTTAAGTGTGGGATGTTGATGGTAGGCTATAATTGCGTATTTTAGTCACTTATTGCAGTTGAATTCACTGCACTTTACTTGTGTTGAGCTTTAATTGGTAGTGTTTTGCACTTATTGTCTCTTGTAGGAGTGATTCCGAGCTATGTAGATGTTGTGGAACTAATTCGAGCTATTTGGATCTTTGAAGTCTGAGTAAAGGCCCAAGGAATTAAGCCGGGAACGTGTTGGGGGGTCAAGGACCGCATCTGGACATCAAAAATCAAGCAAAAAGAAAGACTCCGAGAATTTTGCCTATTGCGGCGTGTGGGGCGGAGTGTGGTGCATCGCAGCAGTGTATTTTTGTTGCCTGTTGAATTGTTGAGCTCCCTGAAAAAGTCCACTAGCGTCGACTCATGGCGCGCCTGTGTATTTTTTACAGAGTGAATGTCCTATTTCGGCTAAGACAAGGTGATTTCATCTAGGCCCGACCCTACTTGGTATAAATACATGAAAAAACGTTATTTACTGGACTTTTGACATACTTTAGACCTAAGGACGCTAAGGAGGAGTTGGAAGATCAGAAGCACAAGGATTTCATCATTCCTTCCTCACTTAAGACCCGAGTTTGGATTGAATTTATGTTTTCCTATACTTTAATTATATTTGTGATGAATTTATCCCTATCTATAGAGTATTTTCCTTTAGGGGTTGATGAATTTGGTGTATTGATGATTGTTTGTGGATTATAACTCTAGTTTTATGTATTGAATCGTTTTGAATGATTTAATTTTTGCATCTATATTCACTAGTTCTTTTAATCGAGAGAGGCATAACATGTGATATCTTTGCATTATATTGTTGGTTGAGTTCATAGATTCTTTGAAGTAATCGAAAGAGGCTAGTTGAATTATTGATTAAACCTAGTTAGGATAATAATCAAAAGAAGTGTTTTCCTAAAGACCAGTCCACTGCGCATTCTTGCATATCTTCACGTGGTTAAAATTGGTTCATCTTGTGCGGTTAAGAGTTAATCGAGAGATGAGTTTTTGCTGAACGTTTGAACTAATAATTGAGTGAATTCGAGAGACTCACTTGAACATTAGAAGTGAATTATCTAGAGTTGGATCCCGAATAATTATCTTGCGCCTATCCTATCAAAACTCTTTTTGCTCCCGTTGATAACCTTATTTGCTTATTCCTTATCTCGATAGTCACTAGTCAATAACTTTAGATTCTTAGTTAATTTTAGTTATTAATCATATAAACCTCAACTATTCATTCTCCTGGATAGTAATCAAGTTAGCAACAACGAGAATACTGTTTAAATCCAATCCCTGTGGATATGATATTATACTATACTATCTTTGATTAGCGAGCGTAAATTAAGTGTGTGTTTTGTGCTCGTCAAGAGGTGTAGACCTCTCCGAGTCTAGCTCCTACGTACCGTCTAGGGAGGTGTTAGAGGGCAACTCAGCCTTTGTTCAGGAGGAACAACCAGCCAGATAGTCGAGGTACCAGCTCAGGGACGAACCGTCTTAATCACCAAAGAGTGAGTCAGGCTTCTGATCCATTAGCTGCACCAGTCCTTGAGGCACCAGTTATACATGACATCCCCTATGATGGCAGAGGGAGAGATGCTACGGCTACATGCCTTGAAAGATCAAAGAAGAAAGAGGTTTGGGAGGATCGCTTTGTCAGCCTGGCCGCCTTCACCAATTTTCGCATGTGGTGGCCATTGAGGTCGCTAACTCTTGAGCGACAGTTTTTTTGAAGGATTTGGAGAAGTACAACCCAGCTATTGAGACAGTTCAAGGCACGAAAGGGGTGGATGTGGTTCACCGAGAGAGTAGAGAATGCAAAAGAATACCTCGTCCGAGAATTTTATGCCAATGTTGCTCATATCGAAAAAGGGACGAAGGTGACCAAAGTGCGCAACCTCAAGGTGAGGTTGATAAGCATACGCTAAATGCGTATTTGGGCTTCGAGGATGTTGAGCCGAAGAAATATTTGGAGAAGTACACACTAAAGGAGGAAGTCTGACCTTAGTTGGATGAGATCCTAGCACCACCAGGGCAACCACCCCCATGGATTACCGTTGGGGTTCCCATTCAGCGGAGTACTTTGAGCTTTGAGTCAAAATGGTGGCAAACCTTTGTATGTAGCAGGTTAGATCCATGCCAAAATGAGACTCACCTTCCTATCCCTTGGCAGTGCTTGTGGCTTTTATCATGACCGGTTACCCAATCAATGTGGGTGCCGTGATATCGGCTAATATTTTAGTGATTGCACGGCATGATAGCTCGGCCTACCCTTATCCCAACACTATCACAGAGTACCTTACTGATGCAAAGGTAGAGACGGGAGATTTTGACACCAAGGTGAAGCAGAAGAAGCCATTTGACTGGTATTCTTTGATGGATGCGAGCAACCCAAATAAGAAAGCCTAGCCTTCTACCACCACAAACCAGTTTGATGAGCCAATATTGGTAACTTCTGAGGCAGCTGATCTTCCATCCACCTCTGTCGAGCCCTCTACCAGTGCCATGGCTATGCCTCCACATCATCTTTAGCTCCTACCACAGCCCCTAAAGTTGCCCTAAAGCCAGTGCCCGTGCCCATACTTACCCTATCTGCTCTGCAAGTCTCCCAGACATTGGCGAGCTCAATAATTGGATGCAGACAGCTACTTCTAAGCTGTCTGACTTGTCTAGTACTGTTGCAGTGCAGTCCACTTCTCATGTACCACAAGCTCCTTTTGACATTGATGAGACACTGAAGAAGATTTTGGAGAACCAGAAGACGATCATGGATACCTTGGTACAGCACGGGACAGTGATTGAGGATCTGGGAAAGGAAGTAAAGAAGATGAGGAAGTTCCAAGTCAGCAAGAAATCGGTGGACAAGCTCCGGAGGGAGGTGACTAGACTTGCTACAGCTGGCGACCTTCCATTTGATATGCTACTTAACTTGTACCAATCCGCCCCAGATCCTTCAGCACCATTTACATTGGTAGCACCAGCTGGCCAGTCTGATGAGCTAGACCTTGCTTCCGACACTGCTGAGGTAGTTCGTGAGATGTTCGTCAACCCATCCATGCCTAGATTTGATGATGATGAGATTCAGTTGGCTGATCTTGAGGGAGATGACATTACTGGGACACTGAGATG